TATGACTCGCTTATACTGTACTCACTAACTGTTAGGAATAATTTGTATTTCACGTGAAAGGGACGCCATACATTTTTCAGTAAAAAATACATAACACGGCGTTAGGCGTTCAAATTCTTTAAAGTTTCACATTTTGTGAATAGTGCACAGATTAGAAAATTAAGTATATGGAATACTTTAATGGGAAATAAAGACGAACGAAGCGTAGTTATTTGTTTTTAGAAATTATATTGAAAAAAAATTACACCATTGTGTCCTTTTTATTACCCCAGCAGTGTTTGTCGTTTGATTTTAAACTTATTTGACAACCTTATAAATTAGGTTGAATTAAAATAAATCCATAAGATACTGATGTACAAGTAAAAGTAACTGGCATAATGTGCCGTTCCTTTTTCTTTAGTTTTTATAGAAAGTTGCACGTTTACCCGATTTCGCGGATTCAACGATACCCTAATATCGGGTATTGTACGCGATTTCACGGATAATACCCGATTTCGAGTATTCTCTCAGACCTGCTAAAAATGACTGAAAATGTGTAGTCGCAGTATGTAAATACCATTCCATGTTTCACAGGCTGCACTACATTTAATAAACATTTAATTTAACATGCCGAGTGCTTTTGATTGATTAATATGCGAGTGCTAATTTATTATTTTGAAAAGTTTTAAAATCTTGTGACAAAGGCTTTTCCGACATAGGTTCTACCTTAATTCAAATCTATATTATAAAGATTAATGGATTTCTTAACCGGATTATAAATAATGTCATTTCAACCCTAACATAATAAGAGTCAGAGAAACTATATTCGAGTGATCAACTATAGTCAGCTCTGAAAGATCTCACTAAGTCGGAATGTTCAACAAAGGTCAACTCTCTTATATATTTCGCATGAGAATTTTTAACATTCAACTAATGGTCGACTTGGTGAAAACAGCATATTGATGGTCAACCGACTTGTTTATGCATAACAATTAATAATTGTCAAAAAAAACATTCAACTACTTTTGAGTATTAAGTTGACGACTAGTTGACTGTTTTTTGATGAATAGTTGACAGTCAACTAGACATTTTTGTATTGGGATTCTTTTTTATCCAGTCAAATGACAATTACACTTCAGATATCTATAAAGGCTACTGTAAAGACTCTATGGGGTTTTCCCCAAAGATCACAACCATGGGACATTATACAAATATCACATGGCTTCGAGGGTGACAGACCAGAATATTTGCGACGAGGTGACAGGAAAGCCTTGGAGTGCTACACAAGTGAGTTAAGGCTACATATGGAGGTTTCTATGCAAAATATTAATTATACCCCATTCATACGACATGATTTGCATACCACAGTATATATTACTTATATGTAAATTACTAACATGTGCAATTTTTATCGTATGAACTGATTTAATAACATGTAAATTCTGCACAGTTACGTAAATTTACATCTGGTCAGGACTAGGTGCAAATTAACTTTTGCATACATGTTGTCGCAAATTATTAATTTTTATATGTAAATTTTGTCGTATGAACACACAGCAAATTTACTTATGAATGTATTTTGTTTTGTTTATTGCATAAATTGCCATTTGAAGTGTTGTTTCGGTTGTTTATGCATTGTAAAGTGTATAATATCAGTCTGTTAAACTGGCGGCTAGAAAGCAAAAAAAAAAAAAATGGATTTTTTATGGTCATCATGATCATTGCACTACTTCAAGGACAGCTGAAAGTAAATTGAGTGTTGATAAGGGTACTGCTTTATAGTGTTTAAAGGATACGCCGGTTTATTCTAGCATAGTTCTTTCCACAAATGGCTTTTTCAACTCTGAAAACAAGGATTCACGATATATCTCCAGTCTCCCCTGAGATAAATTTGAATTTGCAAAAACGTGCGTATCTTGACCTTTTCTGGCAAACTAGTGATTATGCTTCTAAATTATAAAAATATAGCTGTGGTCGCGTAATATTGTGCCCTGCAGGATCAATAAGTAGTTTTCTCACTATTCAAGTAGTTTTTATGTATATGCTCCGGAGCTGTGATAGGAATAGGCATTACATTCAATCGCCCTGGTCCAATCATATATTGACTTTCTTCTACCTACCTATGTATTTGAATTAAAGAAAACGCAAACTACTGACATATAAATTGATGTTACAGTGTTGTCAACACTGTTGAAAATAACCATTTTTAAGTGTTACATGATTCATGGGGATTCGTATTTATTTCCTATTCACCTATTTGATTTTTTTTTTTAAATCGATTGCCCATTTCATATTCCTGAAAAATACATGTAATATTCAAGCAGATACTTCATAATGAACTCGCAAACTTGATGTACTGTAGATTTCCAAACACCAAAAAGATTTCCAGTCGACCTTTATTCTGCTGAAGACGCTAACCAGTAGTCAGACTCAGTCATCTTTTTATTAACACACAACGGCTCTTCTTCTTAAGGACCGAGGCCCAAGCATTTTCCAAACTTTATACAATGATTTTTATCAATTTTCCTTTTTCGTGTGTAAATTCTTCCTAAAAGTTTTTAAGTTCGCTTTAACCAGTCCCAAAAATTAAATGGTTCGGATTTTCCCCTACTTTCTTCAAGGAACATTCAAAAGTTAGTCTTATACCCCAATAGTAAGAAAATAGCCGTTTTCTATAAAAATCCACAATTCTGATCTCCTTATTTTATATGAAAAAAACAAAGATTTACTTACAGTTCATAAATGTCGTCTGAACGCATAGCAAATTAACTTTAACTGACGTGTGTATTTTTACTCATATGTAAATTTGCACACATCAGCAAATTTTCGTCGTATGAATGGGGTATAAGATTCCATAATTGCTCTTCCTACCGCACAAAAAATGTTAAGACTTGTTTTCTAATACATTCTTGGTACATGAACCCACGACATGCGATACCCAGTACATATTATGACGTAATATTATGACGTCATCGACCGATACTATACAAGTTTATAAGAAACATCAACAAAATCACTTCGGCGCAAGGGCATACATTACTTTGTTTTACAGAAACAAGGTATAAAAAGACGCAGGATATTCCAAGGATTTAAGATATTGGTGCACAAATGTCGGTACTGCAATTGTTAAGTTACTATTCGTGCAGTTTAAAGTTAAAACAGGGTAAAAATTCACAGTCCAGTGTAAGTTTCTTAAAATTTTCATCGATTGAGAGTGTGCATAAGATTTGTGCAGCAATTTTATTAATTTTAAGAATACTTTCCTTAATATTATACATTGTTTATTTCAAATTAGATAGGATATGCCCTTGCGCTGACGTGATTTTGTTGATGTGAATTATTACCTTAAATGGGAGAAAACAATGACGTCATAATATGACGTCATAATAAGCACTTGCATTAATAAACTGTGGGTACTAAGTATGTATAAGAAAATCAATTTGAACTTTCTCTGTACATAAAATATACAACTAATGAATTTTTATTAGCTCATTTGCATAAAAATATCTATATTTAGCCTTAACTCACTTGCGTATGTCACCCGATGCCGAAGGCAGAAAGTGACACAACACTCCAGGGCTTTCCTGTCACCTCGGCGCAAATATTCTGGTTTAGTCGCCCGAGAAGCCATGTGCTAGGGTGAATTCACAATGCATCGGATACCCTTGTACTTCAACAAGTTCTAGCGATATCGCTACCGACGGAAAATTATCAAAATGGAGTTTATCATATTAGTTTCTGATTAAAATATCAATTTAGGACACAATTATATGCCGTTTATTGAGAAAATATTCCCCAAAATCGAGTTTTCAACATGGATCGGACATTCTTCACCATGCATCGGACATACCTTTATCACAGTGCTTTAAAATCCTTGATATGGGTATATTTTCATCTTTTATCTAAGAAATAACCCTTAACTTAAATTTAATTAACCATATCGTTGCACAAATGTAGAACGATTCAAGAGACCTCACTCTGCCTAAGAAATGCTTTAAATGCTTATGATGCGGTAATTCGCGCTTTTTTTCATTGTTTATAATACTCTGGTTTGTAGAAACAAATTGGGTCAAATTTCAGACGTCATATATCGATAACTTGTAATTTTCTTTTTCTGCTAAAAACAGCTACCAGCTGGGTTCTGTATGAATATGGTAGTGCTTACCTTTGCATCGAAAAGTGTCCGATGCATGGTTAATTTGTGTCCGATGTACGGAGAAATGAACATACTAGTGAAAACCAGCTCTAAAAAGAATTATACGAACATTGAAGTGAAATTTCTGTAAAATTTCTGTAAAATGACCAATCTTTGACTTTATTCACCAAATTCTGACTCGTTCCGTTGAGGTCGAATTTTAAGAACGATAACTCTAAAAATCGCAAAATCATAAATTTCTGATTATTCCCCTTTGATGATGTAAAATATGACGTAACTTCAAGGCCATTCTCAGGGTATTTTTATCACAACATGATAACACAGTCGGTATCATTAAAAAATTTAAATCTTCAGCTTTAAGACAGAAACAAATAAAAACACGGAACTATTAAGTTGAAAGAGAGTTTATTGCCTAAAGTTGTCCTAAGCAAGGTATGTGTCCGATGAATGGAGAACTCATCCTATATGTTATATGACATTTTTGAAATTAAAAAAAAATTTAAAATCATTCAAAATCGTTATAATTTACACAAAAAATCCAAAAATGCCTTCTTGATGTTAGGAAATAAGCTGTGTTGTTTACTTTTACCTAGCGACCGAAGTCATTAAATCTCGAACCCGATCTAAAATGTGTAACGTAAAAACACGTGAACGTGATCGAAAGGATGGTATATCAGTTTCCGTCGGGGGTGACATAACTGTTTCCGGCGTGACATAACTGTTTTCGGTGTGACTGAGCATTTTTCAGGGTTTATAGCGAAACATTTGTGATATAATAAGAAAACGTATTCAAAAATGTTGTAAAACTTATTAAAAGTGTAGATTCAACTATTTTCGGACATGTGAGGGAGAAAATAGCACTTACAAGTCGTTCATCGTAGATTTGGTTTGGTAAACAGCTTAAAGGGCTCTCCAGTAATGTCTTATCATCATTTTTATCATATGCAGCTAAAGAAAATGGCAACCGGAAGCTGAAATCATAGGGAAAAGTACTCCCATGAACTTCACCAGTGGTGTAGTTCCAATAAACAATGCCCTCACAGGATACGTTCATATCATTGCACATTTCACAGAAAATGTTTTTGTACTGGGAGCAAACATGAATGCTTTGAAATTGAAGACAAGCTTTGACTAAGTTTGGATCTTTGTCTTGTTTACATGTCTGTATTATTTCAGACGAATTCACTTCAGTTGGGTTACAGATTAAACAGAATTTATTTTTGTAGGCTACCAAACCCGAGCTTACAGGCGGAAACGTCAAGGCGTCTGCTTGTTCACACGCTATTTGTACATCTTTGTTGTACGATTTCCATGTCCCCGACAGATTACAAGATGATATTTCTACATCACAAACGTCACTACATCTCTCGGTAAAAAATGGAACATGAAACCTTATATCACAGGAACTTTCTTTGAAACTGTCTATCACTTGTTGAAATGACTGAAAATGGAGAAAATTTACGTATGATTTGCAAGTGGCCTTAAAATTCCAAGGCCTTACATGTAAATTCGATAAATTGGAATAGAGTTTCCCATAGTGTTCTTCTTGGATTTCTCCACACAGGTAACAGAATACATTTGCATAGGTGGTTACCCAATATGTATGTTGCACTGGAGTAGAATGGTAAAAATGAGAAACATTTTTCTGTGTGCAGAGTTTTCCTAAATAATTCGTGCGAAGACATCCATTTATTGCACGAAAGTTCTTATACGCATCATTTCCCTCGCTTCCCGGATACACATCACTGATGCAAGTCCATTTTTGCCTTATCGAAAAATCGTCACAGCAACCAAAAACGCAGCCCGCAGAACAGGAACAGTCTCTTCGTAGGGACAATGTATAGTTTGGTAATAACCCTGGTGTGCAGGTACCTGTTCCTGATAAAGAGAAACCGGCATAAACTAGATTTGTCAAGTTGATTGAATAACGAAAAAGTGAGAGATTATCGGGCGGAGTATCCGGGGAGGTTCCATTACTTGATCTCATTGAACAGATGGTATTATCTATTGGCAGCTCGAACATTTCAACCGTTCTTTGAAAATTAGTCTGCATCGGCTCTTCTGATGGTTTTATGGCCTCTGTATTTATATTAAGTACGTTTGACTCTATTTTCTCCACATTTTCCTGCAAATACACTTTTACATGGTCTGCAATATATGCAATTTCAATGTCAAATTTAAATTCGTTTCCCCAATATGTCTCATTGGCGGCTATGAACCTAACATCATTGTAGTATTCTTCATTATTGTCGCCGTGGTTGCAAACGAAGCAAAAATAATTCTTATAGGGGAATGAAGCCTGCAGGAAAGTCAGATTCAAGCAAGCATCCTCAAAGATGCTTGAGTGTTCACAGGCTGTAATCAAAACCCGCTCTTCGAATTTCGGGGGGTTGCAAATTTTGCAGAAAATATTTTTAAATATGCCATAACGTGCTTCATACCCACTTTGACATGCAGTTTGTATTTGGTCGTCATAATGCAACCAAGTGCCTGATACATTGCATGCACCGATTATTTTATTGTAACGAGTAGGGCAAAGCTTCATATGTGGCCCTATGTCTGGATGCTCGAAATGAATGCCACAGGATTCTGATTTGGCGAAAGCAATAAGATCATCGGATGACGAACGATGGTTGATATCAGTTGGAACTAGGCACTTGAAAGATAATACCCATTCCAGGTAATTCGTCTCGTTATGACACAAAGCGCAGTATTTGTTTTTGTAGGATATCCAGCTTGTTGATGAAGCAACCGGTGGTAGCGTTAGTAGGTCTTTTTCTTCATGTTCCTTGGTACAGTTACCGGATAAAATGGCCCCTGTACCAACCGGACAACGGGACACCATGAGATCTGGTTTTGAAAATCTGAACGGAGCAACGTAAGTATCGGTGCATTCTAATAAAGATTTCTGAAAGAATAAGTCTGGACAGCAGGGATGGTTAGACCATTTGGAATAACAGTCATATTCTTGACAAGTACAATAAGGGCACCTGTTTGGAGGAACCACATCTGAGTCAATTCGAATCCCAAGAGAAGAAAGGATCGACTTATCACAGACGACGTCTGGTCCACAAAGAAGGATGCTCTGAATGATTATGTGAGTGGTATTTAAATCAAAGTTTTCCTTGGTCTTAACATCATCTTGACTTTGTTTTGCAATCCCTCTATTATTCAAAATCACTAGTACTACGGATAGTAAGCATTGTGTATTACCAAACATATCAATTGATGTACATTTACCATTTATCAAATGGTCACACAAGAATTTTTTTCTGGATTTTTTTTCTTAGGAATTCTCTCCAGTAGCTTGCGATTATTCTCACTTATATATGGTTGCTTGGGTTATTAACTTCAATTTATTTCATTAGCACTTGGTCTAATTGGCAATATAGGGGATTTAAGTAGCTACCAAAGGGCATTTTTCGGAAGGATAATTGATTTTTTTTTAATATATATCTGAGGAAGCAAACACAAAAACATTTTTTTTTCGCTGACACGTATCTCAACATACATTATGTAATTATTCTGAGGATATTTTTCTACATTTAGAGTGATCTACCCTTAGACCAAACTTCCAATCATAAATGCTTTTTGAATGTATTTTCTCCATGGAAGTAGAACAGTTCTCACATAAGTTTAGACTACAGGGGTAAGCGTTGCATTCTCGACGCAACGTAACTAGCGTCTGACAAAAGACGAATAGATTCTCATTGCTTAAAAAGTTAATAACATCAGGAACTTTAAATTGTTCTTGACAACGATGAGACGACTTAAGCTCCGCCTTTGTGCCGTGCGAGAACTTTTAATTAGCTGTTTGTTACACCAGTTGACATTTGGCCAAAGTTCTTTCCTATGTATATTTCAACATTGAAGGAAAGCTGTGTAAATTTCAGAAACTAATTATGTAACGCCGAAAATGTCACGCTCTACAGAAAGTCTTAGCTAAACTGAGAATTGTCCTAAAGAATTGTTACAGTGATCTCTGTTCCCTGATACTGTTTTGTGTTTGATTTCTTTCGGAAAAGGGAGGTGGGGGTGTTAAATACCACGTTTATGCACATACGTATCATATACTAAAAAGAAGGGTATGCTTTGATAAAAATAGGAAAAACGTTTATAGAAGGTACAGACGTTTTGTTAGAACATTGAAGCTCAAAATAACTATTATTGTAAAATTGATCATTATTTTTTGTTACAAAGAATTCTCAGAATCTTATATTTATACAGGAAAGATATAGAAAAAAGCCTATATACGAGATTCATTATTGGAAAGGCTTCTAAAAATTAGTCTATTAACGTGCTTACATATCAACTTTCTTTGTCTCATGAATACGATTTTGAATAAATTCTGCTTTGTGCGAATACAGAACAGTGTTGAAAAAGGTGATAAATTTAACCAGTGGAATTACGATAATTGCTTAGAACTTTTGATCTCTGAAAACTGCATAGATGTTTTCGATCGTATTATGCACTTTGGTCATCTACTTCATTTTCACATGTTTCATGTATTTTTGATGAGCGTAGGTAGATTTAATTCATTCCACTAATATTTGCATTTCCTTACTTTAGTAGGAGTTATAAAGAATTATATTAATTTGGAACAATTTCAAAAAAGTCAAATTGAAGTTCTTTTTTGCATATAGGTTACAGTCAAAGTCACAAGGTCATTGGCCTTGGTGTCATGTGAAAGAGCTTAATTCTAGTGGAGTATGCACACTAAATATGAAATCTCTATAATTATGTCTCATGGTTCAATATTTTGGCGAAGTTTAAAGTTGACAACGTACAAACAGACAGACAGGGCAAAAACAATACGCGCCCTTGATCTATCGATACGGGCGCATAAAAATAGCCATATTAACTACTTTGGTACTTTTATCATTCTGATTTCAATTCTGAATACATATACATGTAATTGAATTTTCATACTGAAAGAAAATACAGAAAATAATACTAGATTAGCTAAACGAGTTAAAATAAAAATTTAACTTTAAAAAAATTCAATCTTTTACTCAATGAAGTGATAAATTAATTCTGGTTGTAACGTTGTATTTTATTGGATAGAAAATACTTTATATCATATAATATGGGTTTCCTACGTCACAATGACTTGCGTCAAAAATGTATCAATCCGCCTGACGTTACATTCAAATTTTATACAAATGGAAATCATTTTGTTAGATTAATCATCTTTTTTTCTTACATCAAATGAATAAAGATATCGCGAATTATAAAAACGCGTTCCAACCCAGTTTATACCGTATAAAATGGGTAGCTATTAAATTCATTCCCTAATGATGTCCTTGGTATAGGCATAGAAAGCAAATTGAAACGAGGGGGGGGGGGAGCTAAACCAACAAAAGAAGGTAAACCCCAAATTTCAATGTCTATATTATGTATACATTTGCCAAAAAAGTTTGGTACTAAGCCCCCCTCCCCGTTCCGACGCCTATGCTTGGTCAACAAAGAGTACAGGACTAACTTATAAGTGAAGTTAGTTATATATGCAGTATATTCATTTACATCTCTTGCCTGATTTTAAAATAAACAATTGTGTGGAAAACATATCGAAATTCAAATCGTATTATTTTAATCCAGAAATCCAAAGAGGGAGGGGGGGGGGGTCCACGTGTACCTCAGTGTAAAATAAACCCCTAAAATTTCTTTGACATGCAAAAAAAAATCGCCTTTCCCAAAAGGAAAAACCTTCATGTATTTCGGGGTGGGTAACATTTACTTCCAAACCTTCATATATATGCCTTTTCTTACTAAATTAGCTCTAATCCACGTTATCTGGGAAGGGGGGGGGGATTATTACAGAGATCAAGGTTGCTTATGATGCTGTAGTGTAAAATTTAATAATTCCACAAATTCCAGTAGGTCCGAATCCCCTCAATGACAGGAGGGTTATTATAAGTTATCTAATTCAATATTTTATTCTTTGTAATCTCATTTTCTTTTCTTCTTTTTTTGTTTGGCCTTCTTTCTTTCAGTTACTGAAGATATAATTGCCTGAAAAAGCTGACGCGACGGATTTCTTCACTTTAATTTCAACATTTATTAGTGGCCATTTCATTTGTTTCTTTTCTTTTCCATTACTGACAATATAATTGCCTGATTTTTCAATTTTGTGAAAGGATGGAGAGGACATATCAAAATTCATTTAATTAAGTTAAATTTATTAAAAAATTTTCCGAGTAGTTATCTTACGCAATTTCCCTTTTTTCAATGCGGGAAAACTTTTGAGTCTCATAAGTCGACAGAATTATATGAATAAGTATTAGCTAGGTATCTAATAAGATTTTATGCTATAAGATAAGATAAGATAAGATATGTTTTAATTACTAATTCAGGGCCCAAATGAGCATAAAGAAAACAAACTTAAGAAAGATAGACCTAAAATATAGTTGAAAGAAAAAATAATTTAAAGATACATTTAGAATTTGGAAAGGGCTTCTATTTAAGAACTCACCAGAACATTTTGACAGAAGGTAAGATTAAGGTATTAAGATAGCTGCATATATATATTCAGTTTCAGTATCTTGCGTCGCCCCATTGGCGCAGCGGCTAGAGTGTCTGCTCTAGAGTCAAGAAGTAAGAAGTTGAATTCCACTGTGTAGAGATCAGTCATTTGGAAGGGAACGTATTTACAGAGGTCCTGCGTCGCAGTAGTTGCTGGCATGAAAAAGATCCCTCAATGCTCAATGGCCAATAGTGCCAAATATAGGACAAAATTTACAGCTCTCCACTGACAGGAGGTGGCGTCTCCAGTATGAATGAAAAATTCTTGAGAGGGTCAGACAATCGAACGGAATCTTGCACAACTGAATATCTAAATAAGTACAATGAATATATATTAATAGTAATACTCATTTAATTTGCATATTTCGTTAGTCAGCCACTTGTGCGTTTACGTTTACAGATTTTAATGTAAAGTACAACATATACATATATGAGACATGTATCCCCTGAAATACAAAATCCCACATTCACACGCGACTCCAAAATATGTAAAATGAAATACAACAAATCATGGACGAAGTATTACATGTATATTTAAATATTCGAAGTAGCTTATGCTTACATTGCAGCAACCAAATGGTTTATTTGACACTGCCATATATTTTACTTCTGTTAACATAGACAAAAATCAGCTCTCTTTTAAACCCTTCAATTTAATTTTAGATAAGTCTCTGGCACAAATCCGGAATCCAATCAGTTTGAATATCAACTAATTTTGATCAAAAATCATTGTTTTTGATTTGAATTTGTGGGCAAATCAGCAAAGGGCTTATCAAATTATTCCTGTATGCGCTAGGCTGGCAATCAAGACTGTCTTGAAAGATGAAACATTGTCGTATTCTGTTAAATCGCATCGAGAGGTAGGGCAACATAAATGCTTTTTCACTAACAAACATTTTAACTTCTGCAATGGTTTCGTTCAATAGGTTCCAATTAGCAGTCGATTGCATTAAACGAATTAGTCTTTCCTCCAATTTATCTCTGTTAATTTCTTCCCTTATAAAAAATTTAACACACAAGTAAAATTCTCCCTGCCTTATGTTCAAAGTACGGCAGCCCTAACAAAAGAATACTATAGTTAACTATAGTTAACTATAGTTTACTATAGTTTACTATAGTTAACTATAGTGATAACTTTGACACTTTGAAAACTTTGATTTACTATAGTGATAACTTTGACACTTTGAAAAACTTTGGTGAAAACTTTGACACTTTGAAAAACATTGGCAAAAACTTTGACACTTTGAAAAACTTTACCAAAAACTTTAACACTTCGAACTTTATCGAAAAATTTGACACTTTGAAAACTTTATCAAAAACTTTGATACTTTGAAAAACTTTATCTAAAACTTTGACACTTTGAAAAACTTTGACGAAAACTTTGACACTTTGAAAAACTTTGACGAAAACTTTGACACTTTGAAAAACTTTGGCGAAAACTTTGACACTTTGAAAAACTTTGAAAACTTTGACACTTTGAAAAACTTTGGCGAAAACTTTGACACTTTGAAAAACTTTGGCGAAAACTTTGACACTTTGAAAAACTTTGGCAAAAACTTTGACACTTTGAAAAACTTTGACGAAAACTTTGATACTTTGAAAAACTTTGGCGAAAACTTTGACATTTTGAAAAGCTTTATTGAAAACTTTGACACTTTGAAAAACTTTATCGAAAATTTTGATACTTCAAAAAACTTT